TGGTCTTGATCTCTTGACCTCGTGATCCACCCGCCTCGGCCTCCCAAAGTGCTGGGATTACAGGCTTGAGCCACTGCGCCCGGCCCCTAGGTGCAACGCTTCTTATCTGGGGGCTGGAGACTTCAAAGGATTCTTATAGAAAGGTACTATGAACCAATGCAGTGGGAGCTGACAGACTTGTGCTCTTCTCTAAGTTATTTTATGGGAGGATGATTTGCACTAGCACAGAAGCCAGAAAAGGCTGACAGGGTGTACAGCTGCTGTGACCCGGTCACACCAGAGGGGTTCTTCTCCCTCGGTTATTTGTGGGATCTCAGGCCTGAGGCCTGCTTTCCACAGGAGCTGGATGCAAGGTACTACAACTCCTTTATCAGGAGGAGACTCTTGCTCGAAGCCTGCCATACATCGTATGCCCTTTCAGGCAGGGACGCCACTGCTGGGTCTTTGGTTCTTGTCCTGGTCTCGCTGTTTTTCCCATGTACTGCTTCTGTTCTGTGACTGCTTTAGGCAGTCCTCCTACTACAAACTACTATATGGTTATATAGAAGGATTATATAAATCAGCACTAAATGTATCGGCACAGCTCCGACTTCAATATTTATAAGATTATATAGAATATATATGTATGGTTATATAGACTGCAGTATTTATATGACTACATAGAGAGATTACATGGAACTAAGTATGCTAGATATAAGTACTAAGTATGATTATATAAGCTAGATATATGTAAGCAGTAAGTTATACTTCAGGCACTAATTGTTCTGACTATAAACTAATACATGATTACATACACAGGATTATATAAAAGAAATAGCTGAATAATAACACTATAAACTAAGATATTCTTCAGGCACTAATTGTGCCTGGGGTTTGCACAGCTCTCCTTCCTTGGTGCCCATGTTGGGGGTTACCCACCGGACGGTGGTGGGGGAAGCCCCTGCAGGGAAGTGAGGCCACCGGATCAGTGCTCCCACTTGTCATGGGCCAGAGGCTTGTGAGGCCTCCGTCTCCCAGATCCACTCTGCCCAGGCTCCGTTTCCAGGTCAGCCAAAGCAGGACAGACAGTGTGGATGCTTCAGGTGGCAGAAGCAGGAGAGGCCCCTGGTGTAGAGACCCTCAATGTAGAGACCGTGACTTTCCTGGTGTCCTCAAGACAAGACCTGAATAGGTGCTGAGCAAGAGGTTCTCCAGCCCTCCTGAGCCCAAGCCTCCCTGTCTCTCTGCTCGCCCCCAGGAGCTGGGCAACAGCCTGGACAAGTGCAAGAACAATGAGAACCTGCAGCAGATCCTCACCAATGCCACCATCATGGTCGTCAGTGTCACTGCCTCCACCACCCAGGGGTATGTCCACTGCGAGAGAGGCGCTGGGCCCGGGCTAAGAGGACTGGGGATTAGGCCGAAGCTGCACACGCAGATGTGCACACACATGCACGCGCGCGCACACACACACACACACACACAGAACTGAGAGGGAGGGTGGGACTGGGGATTAGGCCGAAAATACACAGATGTGCACACACATGCACACACACACACACACACACACACACACACACAAACTGAGAGGGTGGGGGCTGGGCACCAGGCAGGCAGGAGACCCAGGAGGCTGGGCCCACCTGCCCCTGCAGGCAGCAGCTGTCGGAGGAGGAGCTGGAGCGGCTAGAGGAGGCCTGCGACATGGCGCTGGAGCTGAACGCCTCCAAGCACCGCATCTACGAGTATGTGGAGTCCCGAATGTCCTTCATAGCGCCCAACCTGTCCATCATCATCGGGGCGTCCACGGCTGCCAAGATCATGGGTGAGGCCCCGGGGCTGGGTCCCATGGCGGGGATGGGGAGGCGTCTGCTGACACCATGGCCTTGGGAAGCTGCATCCCTTTTCTGCAGAGTGGGGCTTTGGCACCTGGGCCTCAGCACCTGGTCTCCCTGGACATCACAGAGGTCAGCCAGCCTGGCCCCTAGCAAGGCCCTGTCCATGGGAAAAACACTCACCTACAGCTCCTCCTCCTGCCCCTCTGCCGGAAACCCAGAGCTGACCACACCCAAGCCTTGTCAGGGAGCTTCTGGTTTGGTGAAAATGGTTCGCAGACATCCCTGGAACCGGGCGGTGTGGTGTAGCACAAACGAGGTGGTCGGCTTCCTGTCTGGTGCCTCCTCCCTGCACCCCCAGACCAGCTGCCCTCCCTCTCCCAGCCTCCTTTGCATCTGCCCCTCGTGCAATGAGCCAGGTTGCCCTCCTAACAGGGCCACCAAGGGGTCCAACCAGAGCCTCATGTAAAGGCACCCGGCACACGACGAGCGTCTGGCAAATTCATGCACCCCCACCTCTCCGCTTTCTTCTAACTGCCCCCTCCTCCCTCCCCCGCAGGCGTGGCTGGCGGCCTGACCAACCTCTCCAAGATGCCCGCCTGCAACATCATGCTGCTCGGGGCCCAGCGCAAGACGCTGTCGGGCTTCTCGTCCACCTCGGTGCTGCCCCACACCGGCTACATCTACCACAGCGACATCGTGCAGTCCCTGCCCCCGGTGAGCCCACAGTGTCATTGCCTGCCCCCGGCTCCCCTGGAACTTTCCCCTGTGCCCAGACAGCCTAGCAGCCACCCCCACCATCTGACAGTAGCACTCAGGTGCCGGGAACAGGGTGGCACGGGGCATGAGAGCCAGGGCTGTGCAGTCCACCAGCTCCGGTGCCCAGGCTCTGGCAGCGCCACCCACCCATCAGTGACCGTGGGCAAGAGGCATGAGCGCCCTGTGCCTCAGTCTCCCCCATCAGACGGGAGCACAGCACCTGCTTCATGAGTTAGGATGAGGGCTCAATGCAGATGAAGCCCTTACAAGTCAGGCCTAGCTCAGACAAGCAGCGTCAGGTTAGCGTGCAAGTGCTCCAATGACCACCCTCAGGTTTTACCGTTCACTAGAAAGACAAACAACCCACTGAGGGCTGCTGTGCTGGGGACTTAGTTTCTAACAGTTAACATCAGCCACGGGGAGACACACGGGAGGGGCAGGAGAGGTCAGCACCCCTGGAGCTTCCCAGGTCCTCTCTGCCATCAGGACACATCAGCCTCCCAGTTTTGATGCCTGGCAGCACATACACAGACCTAGAACACAAGCAGGAGGCCAGGCGCGGAGGCTCATTCCTGTCATTCCAGCACTTTGGGAGGCCGAGGCTGGTGGATCACCTGAGGTCAGCAGTTCAAGACCAGCCTGGCCAACATGGTGAAACCCCGTCTCTCCTAAAAATAAAAAAAAAATAGCCAGTCCTGGTGGTGGGGTACCTGTAATCCCAGCTACTTGGGAGGCAGGAGAATCGCTTGAACCTGAGAGGCAGAGTTTGCAGTGAGCTGAGATCGTACCACTAGACTCCAGTCTAGGTGACAGAGTGAGTCTCTGTCTCAAAAAAAAAAAAAAAAATTAGCCGGGTATGGTGGCGGGAGCCTGTATTCCCAGCTATTTGGAAGATTGAGGCAGGAGAATTACTTGAACCTGGGAGGTGGAGGCTGCAGTGAGCCGACATTGTGCCACTGCACTCCAGCCTGGGTGACGGAACTAGACTGCATCTTAAAAAAAAAAAAAAAAAAAATGTTGGCACTGTGGCCCACACCTGTAATCCCAGCACTTTGGGAGGCAGAGGCGGATGGATTACTGGAGATCAGGAGTTTGAGACCAGCCTAACCAACATGGTGAAACCTCGTCGTCTCTACTAAAAATATTACAAAATTAGTCAGGTGTGGTGGCACATACTTGTAATCCCAGCTGCCTGGGATGCTGAGGCAGGAGAATGGCTTGAACCCAGGAGGTGGAGATTGCAGTGAGCCAGGATCACACACTGCATTCCATCCTGAGCGATAGAGTAAGACTCCATCTCAAAAAAAAAAAAAAAAGAAGAAGAACAGGCAAGACAGGCTCTGGGACAGACAGGCCTGGGTCCAGATCCTGCTCTGTCCAGCTGTAGCAAGTGGCCTCAGGCGAGTGGCCCTGTGCCCTGCCTGGCCTCCCTCGGGGATGCAGAGAACAACAGCACCGATGGCCAAGGCTCCCCTCCTGCCCTGTGTGGGGTTGTTTTTTTGGTCTTTTCTGTGACCCTTTAGATCAGGCACTGCTACTGGAACACACCCAGGGGTGCTGGTGGGTCACCCCATCCTGGGAGGAGGGAGAGTGGGCTTTAGAACCCAGAACTGGTGGGCCGAAGGCTCAGGGCTCCAGCCACCTCACAAGGCCATCACCACTGCCTCACAGCCCTAGGCTGTGGATTAAACCTGCCCCAGGGAGCCTGGTGCAGGGCCTCTGCCGCCTCATCTGCCCATCCCAGATCAGTCCAAGCACAGGCCATAGACATCACAGGCCTGTGAGGGAGGCCAGGGCCGGCCATTGCGTCACTGTGGCTGAGAGCTGGGGCTCTGTTTGCAGTCTGGATTGGAACCCTGGCTCCATCACCTCCTGGCTGTGTCCCTAGCCATGTGACTTGGAGCCTTGGTGTCCACATCTGAAAAGGGGGTGCGATGATCACAGCAGCCCGATGTTTGAATATTTGATGAGATGGCCCAAGGGGCACACTTAGCACAGAGCTGGTATCCAGGCTGAGCGCGCTCCCAGCCAGTGTCCTTACCTGACTCTGCCACTTACCAGCCCAGACGTGGCTCTGCACCCTGCCCTCATCCCCTCTTCCTGTGAAGAGGGAGCTAAGAACATACACCTCTAGAGCCCGCAGTGGAGCCAGATGAGAAGCACCCGCGGTTGCTGTGCAGTTATGTCTGTCTGTCTGTCTCTCACACAGATTCCATCCCCGTTTTCCATTGCTCCAGGATCTCCGGCGCAAAGCAGCCCGGCTGGTGGCCGCCAAGTGCACGCTGGCAGCCCGTGTAGACAGTTTCCATGAGAGCACGGAGGGGAAGGTGAGGAGGGGAATGTGGGGGCGGCCGGGCGGCCTTTCCTCTGGGCCTGGGGTGTCTCTGCGGGGAGAGCCCTCAGCAGAGAGCCCACCCCAGCAAGCACTGTCCTACCAGGGCAGAGGCGGTGCTTCTGCTGACTCTCCCCGGGGTCAGGCGCCCCCTTCCCCAGTGCGTTCATTCCCTAGGGCTTCTAGAGGAAGGTAGCACAAACCTACTGGCTTAAAACAGCACAGGTTTGGCTGGGCAAGTTGGCTCATGCCTGTAATCCCAGCACTTTGGGAGGCCAAGGCAGGAAGATCACAGGTCAGGAGCTCGAGACCAGCCTGGCCAACATGGTGAAACCCTGTCTCTATCATAGATACAAGAATTAGTTGGGCATGGGGTGCACACCTGTAATCCCAGTTGCTCGAGAAGCTGAGGCAGGAGAATCACTTGAACCCAGGAGGCAGAGGTTGCAATGAGCTGAGATTGCACTATTGCACTCCAGCCTAGGTGACAGAGCGTGACTCCATCTGAAAAAAAACCAGCACAGGTTTACCATCTGTAGGTCAGAAGTCCAAAATGGGTTTCATTGGGCTGAAGTCAGGGTATCAGCCCAGAGGGTTCCTTCTGGGGGATTCAAGGGAGAATCGTTTCCTTGCCTTTTCCAGCTGCTAGGGGTCGCCAGCATTCCTTAACTTGTGGCCCCTCCTTTGTCTGCGAGCCAGCTGCACGGCATCCTCAGACCTCTCTCACCCTGCTTCTGTCTTCAGGTCTCTGCCTCTGTCTTTCCCCCATCTATTTTAAGGGCCCTTGTGGCTGTATTGAGCCTGCTCACATGGTCCGGGATAGTCTTCCCAGCTCACACTCCTTAAATTCCTTAACGTCTGCACGTCCCTTTTGCCCTGAGGTGACATTCACGGTTCTGGGAGTTAGAACACGGACCTCCTGGGGCATGTGTGTGTTGATGGGGGCATAGTTTGCCTTCCGCACCAGGATCTGTCCGCCCTCCAACAGGGGATACTATTCAAGTAATTACTCAGTTCCCTTCTGCCTTCCTTGGTAGATGTACTTGGGAGAGGAGACATGTTTTCTGTCTTGTGAACTGTCGCTTGCCAAGCACCCCGCCTGGCTCGGCCAGGTGTTCCATCTCCCCTCCTCCTTTCCCTCTCCCCGTCTCACCCTGGTCTGGGTGTGGGGAATGCAGCTGTGAGTAACGCAGACAGAGCCCTGTCCCATGGCGTGGATACTCTCATTGGGGCCGGGTTGGGAGACAGTCCACAGGGGCATCTGTCCTGCACCTGGCAGGGCTACGTACACATCAAGAAGAAAAAGGCAGGTGATTGGGGTGGGGAGACATTAGGTGCTGGTTTAACTGGAATGTCAGCGAGGACCCTAGAGCTCTGAGGAGGTGAGGGTTTAACACGGACCTGAATGAAGTCAGGGAGCAAGGCTCTCTGGGGAGAGTCTTCCCAGTACAGGGAGTGGTCGGTGCAGAGGCCCTGAGGCTGGAGTGCCAGGAGCCCCGGAGGAGAGAGGGGGGCCCTGGTGGAGCCTCGTGCGCCCCGAGGAGAACTCTGGCTGCAGTGGAGGGTCTGGGGGGCCAGTTTGGGATCGTTCTGAAAGAACTCCTGGGATCTGCGGTGTGCAGAGGAACAGTGGAGTCGGCTGCCCGGCTCTCGGAGTTGCCGTTTGCTTACACGAGGAGAAGGAAGGTGGAGGGTGGAAGGCTGGGGAGGAGGAGCAGGAATTCTGCTTGACCCTGGTACATGTGAAGGGCTGTTAACAATCCCAGTGTCAAGGAGACAGTTGTCTACTGGGTACAGAACCCAGAGGAGGGGTCTGAGCCGAGATGAGGGCATCAGGTTGTGGACGGACCTGAAAACCCAGAGAGCTGATGAGATCCTCCAGGGCCCCGGAGCAAGGATGGAGGGCTGGGGTGGGCAGTCCGCTTGGGTGGACAGGCGGACAGCGGACACGAGGCCTGGGTGGGCAGCCCACGTGAGCAGCAGCAGGACCCGCCCCTTGCTCTCACCCTCCCTAGGTGGGCTACGAACTCAAGGACGAGATCGAGCGCAAATTCGACAAGTGGCAGGAGCCGCCGCCTGTGAAGCAGGTGAAACCGCTGCCCGCGCCCCTGGATGGACAGCGGAAGAAGCGAGGCGGCCGCAGGTGAGGGCCCCTGGGGGTCTGGTAGGCATGGGGGTCGTGGAGGGGAGGGGCCGGCGTCCTCCCAGCTGACTCCCTGGCACCGCCTGCTCACCTGTCCCCAGGTACCGCAAGATGAAGGAGCGGCTGGGACTGACGGAGATCCGGAAACAGGCTAACCGCATGAGCTTCGGAGAGGTCAGACGCCCCTAGCGCTGAAGCCATGAGGAGAACTCATGGCCACAGGCAGCCAGCCGCCACCGCCCTCTGCCTCCTGCCGCCTTCCCTCCTCTCTGTCCTTTGGCCCTGGCTCATGTCTAGGGCACGATCCCAGCCTCCTCGCTCGTCCCCGGCCTCTACTCTGGTTTCTATCCGTTCAGCCCCAGAGTGACCCTTGTCACCCCCAGAGCCTGCATCTCCCGAGCTTAGGGCCTCTGCTGCTTCCCATCACCCCAGGCTCCTCGGCTGGTTCCTCCTGCCCTCTGCACGGCCCCTCCCTCTGTGAGCCCCATCTCCTCCGTTATCCCAGTGTCATCCCCTTGGTCCTGGAAGACCCACCTCAGGGGCCACCTCATCCTGTGGAACCTGTTCTGGTTCCTGACACCCCCAACCCACATGCATAAGGAAGGCCTCTCAACTCTGAGCTTACAGAGCAGCGCCAGGACCCAGCCCCTTTCAGGCTCCCCAGCATCCCCGGCTTGTAGGGGCCCCCAGGCCTCAGCCAGGCCGAGTGGGTACCCGAGCAGGTGCCCGTGGGGCCAGCCAGCTGCTGACCGTGGGGCTTCTAGCTGGTGGAGGGGGTACCTGAGTGGCTGGAGGGCGGGGCCTCGTCGCTGACTGCAGGGGCCTCCCTTTCCCCCTAGATCGAGGAGGACGCCTACCAGGAGGACCTGGGATTCAGCCTGGGCCACCTGGGCAAGTCGGGCAGTGGGCGCGTGCGGCAGACACAGGTCAATGAGGCCACCAAGGCCAGGATCTCCAAGACGCTGCAAGTATGTGCCAGACCTGGGTGGGGCCAGGGACCGAGGGACGCAGGGTAGGGTGAGCCCAAATAACAGCCTCCCTGTCCTTCCCACAGCGAACCCTGCAGAAGCAGAGCGTGGTGTATGGCGGGAAGTCCACCATCCGCGACCGCTCCTCAGGCACGGCCTCCAGCGTGGCCTTCACCCCACTCCAGGTACTTGCCCTGGGCCAGCTCTGTCCCCAGCCCTGAGACGCTGGCAAGGCCCCTTGCCCTCTGCCACTGTGAAGCAGGTCACAATGAGTCCCCTTACAGGGCTGTCATGGGGCGTGTGGTGACGAGACATGCCAAAGGCATCGGCAGCACCTGGCACATAGCAAGTGCTTGAGGTTAGCAGAGACGAAAGGCACAGAATAGTCCTCATGAGCAGGGACCAGGGGCTGTGTCCAGGGGACCCTGTGGGGCTGTGAGTGGATTACATTGCTCAGCCTCTAGGACCTGTTTGAAATGGCCAGAGTTATTAAGGTAACCTCAGGACCCCACTCAAAACAGTTCCCAGCTAGCTGGGCTTGGGTGTCACATGTGGGTCTGGCCCCCAGCCCAGTCAGCAGTGAGTGGCATGGAGCACGCCAGTCACCGCATCATCGGCACCTCAGTTTACCATCCACAGAGCAGGGCGAGCCTGCACCATGGGTGTGGGACAGCAGTGAGCTCATCTGCTCAGTCAGCGGGTGTCTGTGCTGAGTTCTGTCAGTGCTGTCAGCTCTGGGGGTGAAGCGGTGAATGAAAGAGATAAGTCTTGCCTTCATGGAGCCTGTGGGTGGCCGGGCACAGACAGATCAGTAAGATGTCCAGTGCAGTAGAAGGCAGAAATGCCAGAGGGGGAAGGACATGAGAGGTGGGAGGTGGGACGGGGAGGCTTTCGTCCTAGAGCAGCCAGGGAGCGCCTCACCTTTCCCAGCCTCCACTCCCACGTTGTGAGGTGCCCAGGGCTGAAAAAGGACTGCAGAGAAAGCACTTGGCACCGCACTTGCTGTTGGAGCCTGATGACGGGTCCTGTGCTTATTTTCTTTCTTTTTTTTTTTTTTTTTT